GCTTAACTCTCTTAATACCTTTTAGAGGGTGATTAGGAGATTGAATGCTCTTTAGGTGTATTTGTTTTTTTGTTTGTTAATGGTAATTTACATTGGTTAAAAAGAAAAAAAAAAACTTAACGTCTGGCAACTCTTTGTCACAACTCACAATTGTTAGGGTTTTGTCCTGATTTTCTTACCATAATCTAAGATTTATTTTTCCTTAAAGAAAAGACAAAACATTAACATAAATGTTTTTACTTTTTCTCAAAGGAAAAATATAATATTCTTTCATATTTGGTTTATACTTTCCTTTTAGGAAAATGTTGGAGTAGCTAGTCCTTTTCTAGTAAAAAAAATTTTTAGGACTCTATAAATATATGTTTGTTTCTTCTAACACAATAACAATAACATGAGTAATTTCCCTAGATAGTCACCTATGTTTGGAAAATTACCTAGTAATATCACTTATGTTTGTTTTAGGACTACAATATCATCCAACTTTACATATTTTCCTCAAAATATAATTGACACAAAAAAAAAATCATCTCTCTCCTAATGGGATGCCATGTCACATTATTCCTTTTTTATTATTAACAATTTTTTAAATTTTATTTAGACAACCCATATATTATATCCAGTAAAAAAAATTACATAGCGCCAAAATTTTGAACCCTAGTTCAGAGGGATTCAGAGGCAAATCCATTTTTTAAAAAATATATTGCTAAAATTATCTGGATTAAGATAATTAATTATTTTTGTATTAACCTAATTGAGACTTTATAAGTATCCGGCTATAAATGCTACGTGTATAAAAACAAACTACCTAATACAAATTATATATATTTTATTTTTGTCTTCACCTATATGGAAATTCTTTTACTAATATCTGTTACAATTATCCATGTTTACGTCCAGATCAGATTAATTAAAACAAACTTTATGCCACAAAAACATAAAACACACATAGACACACTTTATTCTCAATCACATAACCGAATCATAATTTTATTTTATTTTTCAAAATATTAAAATTAAAAATTTAATAATTTATATATATTTAATGAATTTTAATTATAAAATTGAAATTTGAATCAAAATTATTAAGTTTGATCGAATTCGTAATCAAAGTCTTAGCTCCGTCCATGCTCCCACATAGAGCTACAATGATTTTCTCATCCCCTCTATAAAACTTTTCCTTTTAATTTTCAATGATACATATATATATATATATATATATATATATATATATTTATTTATTTTCTCTTTTAATTTTGGTAAAGAAATTTAAATCTCGAAAGTCAGATGAATTATTTTTTAACTGAAGTTTTTATATATGTCTACTGAAAATTCTAAATTATTAATTCACGACACTAATAGACAATTATTCATATTTGGATTTGCCTCCAAATCCCCCAGAACTAGGGTAGAAAATTTTGGCGCTATGTAATTTTTTTTTACTGAGTATCATATATGGGTTGTCTAAATAAATTTTAAAAAAATATTATTAATAAAAAAAGAATAATGTGACATGGCATCCAATTAGGAGAGATGATGTTTTTTTTGTGTCAGGTATATTTTGAGGAAAATATGTAAAGTTGGGTGATATTGTAGTCCTAAAACAAACATAAGTGATATTAGTAGGTAATTTCCCAAACATGAGTGACTATCTAGGGAAATTACTTCAATAACATCCACAATATAATCGTTTAAGAGTCTTGTTTATGAGGAGATTTATTCTCTCTAAAGTTTCAATGTTTTTCTTTATATTAGTTTTGATATAATAATATTTTGATTAATTTTAGTATAAGTTTTTTGTTATCTGATTTATCAACTATATAATTTGCAAATTGTAAGCTTCCGCATGACGCCCTAATCACCCTTCATAACCCAACAACAATTATGTTTAGATTATATCCAAGTTCCAACTCAGTGAATAAATTAATGAATTTGAACAATATTCTTTTCTATGTGTTCCACATTCGTATAATATTTCTATATAATCATGTTTGGTACGTGGAATATATGTATTGTTGTCAGACTATCACCAATATTTTATATTAACCATCTCACTATTCCTAACCCCATGGCCCATGTTCAAAGATGATAGTGAATTCCTTGTCCCAAAGTTCTAAATCTCGAGGTAATAGTATAGGCATATTGCATGTATATGTCTTTGTTTTTTTTATGGGGTTTGTGTTTTTGGAGGTACATACTTACATATATAAATATTCATATGGGACATTAATTAAATTGTTATAAAGAAAATTGGGGAACGTTAATTAGTTATATATAGGTTTCACACAAATATATAATTGGATAATTGAGTTATAATATATGAATTGTTAGGTGAGGACTAATAACGTATCGAGTGTATAAGGTAACATAAGATTATTGTTATAAAAAAAAAGGTAACTTTTATTAGTCTGGTATAAGATAATTGTAAGTTGTGTGGTGTTTGGGGTGATCTCGATGGCCCTTGAAAATCTAGAAGATCGATTGTTGACTACGCTTCATGTAATTTTTTTTTTATCTAGTGTTTTAATATCGTATCACAGAAATTTTTTGATAATATAATCACACGTTTTCGATGAATAGACCTTAACACCTTTCACTAAACCCTAGGTCACATGTCCCTACACACCCATTGGTTCCTCGTGGTCCAAGTGGGGAAGACCCTTTGCTTCCTTACGCAGATGTTGGACTCGTACAAAACAGGCACCCCATTTCACACACTACTTATCTTTAGCTACCACACGAGTGCTGTCCTTTCCTTTCCTATTTTTACTTTTCTTGGTATTTTTTTCATATCGAAATTCTTGACTAAATTTAGATCGCACATTATAGGGCTCTTTTAGGGTTGGCGCTTCCAACACATTTTTCTTCATATTCAGATCTCGAATCTGAAATTCCTGATTAAAGGTAATGCAGTCTCATCACTACACCACAACTCATGTTGGTGATTTCTCTATTTTACTTTCTTACTTTGTCATCCCTACACTTTCTTATATATGACACTTGTGGTCCATTAATTTTACTCTATCCATCATTCCTCGTATCATTTTTTCCAATTTTTTTGGTCTAAGAAAGGGAAACAAAGGTCTAAATTTACGGTTGCATGAACAAAATAAAGACAGTCCCTTCATGACCCCCCCCCCCCCCCCCACAATACAATCAATCAATCTGAGTTTTGGTCCCATTAAAACAGGGTTTTTTTCACAGAAAAATGGATCCAAACAAACGAGTCCTTGTCATCTTATTTTCCTTGTACATTAAAAGACCACCTATATATATACATATTTAATAAATACTTTCTACGTTCTCATTAATGTGGAATCGTTCACCTATTTAATACAAAATTTAAAAAAGAAATCATAGAGATTTTTAAACATTTTGTCTAAAATATTTCTTGACTACAAATTATATGTTTGATTTTTTAAAAAGATTAGTTTAAGAAAAGAAATAAAAACTTTTCATAAGAATTGTGTCAAATCAACATAATCAAATAATACAAAATAGAGGGAGTATATGTTGAATTCTTCATATGTTTATTTCTATAGATATATTGATTTTCTTCAATGAAAATTCTCGTTACATTTTTGAGGTGTTAGAAATCTGATTTTTTCTTTAAGTGCGGTGTCAAATTGGATATTAAGACAAAGAATTTTGAAATTAAAAAGAAAAGTTCAATATATTTTATTCTTCTTTTTTTTTTAGCTAAATGAAGAAAAATGAATTGGCTTTACTTTTTTTCTTTACTAAAAAGCACATGATTGATCATTGGTAGCCTAAAGCAAACGTACCTAGGCATTCTAGTAGATCAACATGGCCTATGAATAAATATGTCGTACATTATTGAATTTTGTAACCTCCGGTGACATCATTGAAACTTTGAGTAACTTTTCTATTTGTAGTTATGGTGTTTTTTGAAAAATATAAAATGAAACAAAATATATACTCCACAATAACTCCACTAAGTATTTGCTACCATTGAAATTTATTTATTCTAGGGAAAAGAGTCTGAAAAATATTTTAATTTTAGCTGAAATTGTTGTTACGATACCAAACTTTATGGAAGACCTTTTACCCCTGCACTATTTAATAGTTAATTTTAAAAGTATATATGTGCCCACGTGGACACATTACTATTTATAATAATGCAATATTTATGATGTCCACGTGGACACATATATATTTTTAAAATACACTATTAAATAAGTGCAGGGGGTAAAAGGTCCTTTTCAAAATTCGATATTGTTACAGCAATACTTTGATCAAAGTTCGAATATATTTCAAACATTTTTCCATTTATTCTACTTATAGCATCGATCATGTTTGTATATAATGTTTTTTTTACTTCCTAGGCCATTTTTAACTCCACGAACTTGTTTCAAAATAATTGTTAATTTAGAAATTTAAGATTAAAGTTAAAAAGAAGTACTCACTCCGTTCCAGTTTCTCTAACTTTATGTGGCCTTTTAAATGAATAATAATATAACTTATTTCGATATTAACTTTTTTTAAAGGTAAAATTTCGTTATACAAGTCATAAAAAATGAAACAAGGAGTAAAAAGAAAGGTAAAAAAATAAATGATATTCTTTTGTTTTTCATCCGATATTCAGTATTTGCATTAGAGTTAACTATTCTGAATTCACACCATGTAGAGCTTTATTCTAAAAGAAGCGCTATCTAGAAATCTCTGATTAAGAGAGGAACAACCTCATCTACCGCATCAGATAACGGTAAGAAAGGTAAAAAAAGTTGAGAAAGAAACATGAGTGAAGTTGTCTCTCTATCATGATATTTCACATTTTAATAAATGGAAATAGTCTTATTAGGGTGTTGTGTCTTTGACTTGGACTGACACCTTCACCCCCCTTTCATTGAATATCAATAGCAATAATAGAATCCATCCCCACACCCAACCTTCAACAACCCATAGAGCCATTCTCTTCAATTCAATTCTTCTTCTTCAATTCTTGTTTCTCTCTTTAATTGCACATTAATTACCCAACACACACACTATATACCTTCATTTGGGCGTGCGATGGGTGGCGTATTACACCATAATTTCTCTTTTGCAAAAATAGCCACTTTAACTTTCCTTTTGCTTACTCCACTTGTTTCTGCTTTTCGGATAAATCCCACTACAACACTCGGTAAGTTATTCAGCTAGCGTTTGACTATAGATTTTGAATCAAAGTCTTTAAATATTTATTTAGTTATGAAATTTTATCTCCGAATATTTCAAAAATAAAAAAAGTTTATGGAGAAACTTCACTTTAATTCACCATACTTCAAATCTTTTTCAAATAAGATAGCATGTTGACAATTTTTTGCTTTTGTATTTTAGCTTCAAAATTTATGGATAAACGGACCTTAATACCGTGTGAAGATATTTTTGTTGATGAATGCACGATTATGTATAATGTTTATGTTTAATCATTCTGGATAATGCTTTACGTCCTCTGTATTAATTGACTAGTTATAAATTGTGCATTTTTTTCTTATTTAAAAACTTCTTCTTAGAGTAGTACGGCACTTGGTTAATTTGTACCTTATTTAAAACTTTTCTTTTCGAATTAATTTAGATTTGTGTCTCCTTAATTATGTGTGTTTTTGTGAAACACCTTAATGTTTATGTTGAATTGTGTAATTTTCCTTAGAGGAGTACGCATGTGCTATTATGTAGCGTTAGAAATTTGTTAGTTCGATTAATTTGAATTTATGCGAAGATAATTATGTGTGTTTTTTTGTGAAATATAGGTGGTAGTGAGTCAGATGTAATTGAACGAGTTGTGACTCAAAGAAAACTGAGTGGACCGGGTTCATCACCACCTACCTGCAGATCCAAATGTGGATGGTGTTCCCCGTGTAAACCGGTTCGGGTTTCGGTTCAACCCGGTTTTAGTTTCACTTTAGAGTACTACCCCGAAGCGTGGAGGTGCAAGTGTGGAAATAATCTATTCATGCCTTAAAAAAAATCACTTAAATAGTTAGTACATTACTTTTTTTTTTTTTTTACTTTTGTATTTAATTGTTTAACTATGTACTAGTTAATTAATTATTATAATTATCTGAATTAGACTCTTTTTTTTTAAGTTATAATTTGTAAAGTTAATTTTTGCTCTGTGAAAAGTAAAAAGGAAAAGTGGAAAGAAGTATTTTGTTGTGTAGTTGTACCACTGATTCTTCTCTTTTTCATGCGAAACACAGAACATTGGAAACATAATTTTATTTTTTGAGATCGGAGAGGAGTGAGGGTTCGTTTGATCGAGAAATAAATTATTTCAAAATTAATTATTCTGTGATTAGTTATTTATATATTATTATTTGAATTTTATGGTTGGATATTGCTATTTCAGAATAACTAATTTCAAAATAAATTATTTCGTAATTTAATCTCAATAAAAATTGGGATAATTTTTTTTCTAAAATTAGTTTAAAGTTGAATTTATGAGTAGGCATAATACATAAATGTGTATATCGTGTAGCTTGAGTTTAACTGATATTTACGTTCTTCAATTTTGAATATATACAATAAATATTTAATTTTTTATAAAGGTGTTTCTTTCCTTGTTTTCATAATAATCATATGTTTTGGTTTTCAAATGTCAAACTATATGAATTTTGATCAATTGATCATATATTTTTTTCACTGTATCGATATGAAAATATTTGCAACTTGTAGTATTTTTTTGTATGATATTTTAATATTTAAGTTTAATTTTTAAAATGTTACATTAACATAATTTATTTTATTTTTAAAGATTAGTCAAATAAACACTAAAAAAATGAAATGTGACAACTATATTTGATACAAACAAATGTAGTGTGTATTTGATATAAGTGTTGGAGTGATAATAAATATTTGATATGTGTAATAAGAAGGTAAACTAAACACTAATTTTCCTTGTTAAAAATGATTAAAGTATGCTTAAAGTTATTTATAAAAAGATGTAAGTTCAAAACTATTTTTACATGACAAGGAAAACTATTTATACATTTTAAAAAGGACGAGAATAAACCTTCTTTTTTTTTTAGTAAATCACAGAAAATGATATATTTTTGAATTTATAAACAATTAACTTTACATTTAGTGCTCCCTCTTTTTTTAATCTAGGAGCACTTGATGCTTTTGGACTTTTGGTGAACCCATACATTTAAGTTTTCTTATACTTCTAAGTCTTCGTTTCTAGTAAAAACAACGTCAAATCAATTTAGACGAAGAGAGTACTATTTCGTGATATATGAATTCTAGTGAATATTGGTTAGAAATGGTATTTCTAATACATGCCTAAATATTTAAAATTTTGTCAAATAAAATAGATATTTAACTACAAGTATCCTTTTTTTTCCAACTCAATAAAAAATGCTTACCAAATTTCAAAATGATGCATGGAGTAAAACTAGTGAGTTGAAATCAATCAATGAGGGAGTATGGGCCTACTGGTGTCATTTGTGGGCCATTGGGCTGGGCTCAGTCAGAGAGGCCTCATTTAATGCGGAGTCAGAGTTACAGATGGGCCGTGTGTCTCTGCTGGAAAAAGCCTGCTGCAATACACTGTAAATGGAAATAAAAAGTAATGCTGTCAAATCTCATTTACCCACCTAAATGCTGAAACCTCACACGTGCAGCTCTTTTTTCATCCGATGTTCAGTATTGGTGTTTTGACTACATTCGAATCATGTAGGATTCATTTCAGGGTAGCGCTCTCAACATGATATTTTTCGTAATCAAGACTCGAATTCGAAACTTCAAGTTAAGAGTGAAACAGTCTAATCACTGCATCACATCTTATGTTGGTGAGCTTATATTCTATTTTGTAAGTTTATGCCAAGTTCATTTCTAGAGAATTCAGCAGCATCATTTAATTTTTTTTTTCCTATCAGATGTTCGGTATTCATATTGTAGCTTGATTAAATTTATATTCGCACCAAAAAAATCAACATTGAGGGTTAAGCGCTCCTAAAAGGTAAATCATTTGGTGAAATATTCAGATTCACAAAATGAATGTATGGTGTAAAATGTAAATCTCCATCCAATTGTAGATATTTGATTAAACCACGAGAAACAGACAAACAAACTTTCGCCACATAAATTTAAATGAAATTCTCTGTGTACACGTGGCATTCCGTCAAAATTAGTTTTACTTTATAATATAAAGTTTATATTAAGGTACATGTAACCAAGTAATTAGCATTATCAGCAGAAATGGCAATCGAGGTGAGTTTCCAATAACTATTCTCTAATTTTCTATATTATAGTTTCGAAATATGTGTTCAGTTAAACTAAAACACTTAATTTGTTCGATAAATTATTGATTAATTGATTTGTTTTATAAGTTTAGGCATGGTTTATGGATGAAAACTCAGAAGATCAGCGGCTACCGCACCAGAAGAACCCACCGGAGTTTGTTTCAGTGGAGAAATTAGCAGAACTCGGAGTTTTATACTGGAAATTGAACCCTAATGATTACGAGAACGATGAAGAATTGAAAAAAATTCGTGAAAGTAGAGGCTACAGCTACATGGTAATTCTGTTATACTGTTCATTTTCTTTCAATTTTTTGATGTTGCTTTAATTTGCTTAATAAATGTTTGGGCTTGGGACTTTCACGTTGGATGTCTCAAAGTTCGAAACCCCTTGCCAGCAAAAGCAAGGGGTGTGCCTTCTGGGTTGAGCTCGTCACACCGGGCTCGTGTGGGTTACCTCTCTTATGTGGTCTGCGAGTTATTGCATAGAAGCGGGGTTTTACCATGTGCGCAGCCTAAGGGAGCGGCTGCGGTTTCCCTTGTCAAAAAAAAAAAAAAAAAATAGAAAATTTGCATATTTTAGTGTTTTTTCTGGTTTTTCTGTTGTATAATAAGGGGCTAATCTGAATATTAGGGTTTACCTATTCGGATTAGCCCCCTTTAAAGATGTATGGGTTCCGTAGAACTCAAAAACTTCCGTTGAAGTTCTGTATATATTTGTTGAGAATTAACTTGAATATGCTCATACAATAAGATTCAGAACTCATAAATTTCAAAAAATTGAATTTGCTTGAGACATCTGGTTAAAGATGAAGTGATGTCATTTATGATACCACTTTTAACTTTACTTACTTGGAGGTAGATTATTTGATATGAAGGTTGCTTTTAATTTGCTTAATAGAATGGAAGAGCCACTTTGAGGTTCCTTTGAAATGAGGCATGTAAATGGAGCCACTACGAATCCTTCGAGCTCAAATTGGTCATGGGTTGGGAACGGGAATTGAGCTCTATGAGATTGTATGTCATGTGTACCTTTTTTGTTTATCTTGAATTGAGGGGAGCCTGTTAAATTATGATACGGAGTAGTAATTAACCTTAAGGTTTTTCCCAACTAAAGTCTGTGAATCAAATTGCTTTTGGAATTAATAATTTGATTCTTTTCAAGTTTGTGTTAACCTGTCTTCCGAATTCAAAGAAGCACAAAAATGAGTTCGTAGTTAGATTAGGCATGATGCAAAGCTATTGTAACAGGGTTTATGACTACCTCGCAGCAATTTGTCGATTTTCTACTTTAGATTTCTTGATTGGTAAGTTTTAGACATTATTTCTGAGATAAGACTGATGGTGAATATAGAATTGCCATTATCGTACCATGTTAAACATGTGCAAACTATACATCAGCTCCTTAGAAGTGTGTGTTGTTCAGCATGCATGGTCATCTCATATTCTTCGTAGCTCACAATTAACTCCACACAACACTACACAAAATCAAAACTTGAAACTTCAGTTTCTTGGTTCTATTAGTCTAACAACTTAAAATGTAGATCGCGCACTGATCTGTGTGGTATGTTATGTTCAAAGATTTAAAAGTTGATGGGTTTAAAAGGTGTGATTATGAAGTGAAGGGTTGTGAATCTCCTGAATAGTTGCGACTTTTACGAAGGGTTATAACCTTTACGAAATGTTGTATCTTTTCTAAAGGGTGGTGACCATTCAAAAGTTTGTGCATTTTCCAAAGGGTTGTGATCTTTCTGAAAGGTTGCCTCTTTTTCAAGGAATTGTGACCTTTTCGATAAGGCACAATTAACACATTTTCATACTACTCTTTGTTGGTTATAAATGGAGAGACTTTCTCTCATTTTTCTGCATCGAATTTTTCCCTTCCTCTGCATACATTTTTTACAAACAAGATCGATCGTGTGTGTGAGAGAGATCTCGTTGTTGTCTTTTTGAGTTTGTTGAAATTGTCGAAGTTTGAGGTACTGCTACTTCTTCAATGGTTAATCTGTTTTATCTTGAGAGTAATTAATCTACAACCTCGGATACTTGAGGGGATTAAATTTCTTAAGGACACACAATGGGTTCTGTGAACTCGGATTGTTATTTTCTTTTCATCTTTATTGTTTCTGGTTTGCTAATCTGATTACAAGAGATGATAACAAAAGTCTGTTTCTTTAACCAGCTATTCATAATGAGCTGCACCATCATTTTCTTAATCCTTACATGTTTTCTCTTTGAAGGACTTGCTGGATTTATGCCCTGAGAAAGTTGATAACTATGAGCAGAAGTTGAAAAATTTCTACACGGAGCACATACACGCAGATGAGGAGATACGTTACTGTCTGGAAGGGAGTGGATATTTTGATGTGAGAGACAAGGATGATCGCTGGATTCGCATATGGATGAAGGCCGGTGATATGATCGTCCTGCCTGCTGGGATTTACCACCGGTTTACCCTAGATACTGGTAACTATGTCAAGGTGTGTTGAACTTCGAGTTCCTCTTTGATGAAGCATAGAATTAAAAAAATTTCCACTTACCAGTGACTTAAACAAAGTTCATAGAATAGTAGCGGAAAATTACATCTCAAGAGAGCATTTCAAACTTAGTACATAATTGATAATCTAAAATTGGTAAATGCAATGACTCTGTTCGCGTACTTGTACATATGTCAACAATCCTAGTTCAAGCTCTAAACCAAATCAACCGAAGAAGTGAATTT